ACACCCACACCCACACCCCACACCCACACCCACACCCACACCCCAATGATGGTAAGTTCTCTCTGCTCCTCTATGTATGTCGAAAGTAAACACTGAATTCATTCTATAACAAAGCTGATTCTCAAGATACATTTACCATGGTAGAGACTCAATTGCAGGATGCAATTATCGGTAGAGAATAGGTCAACCTTTGTTTTCCATTGATAGTTTTATTGTCTGTAGATCTTCTGACATTGTCGACACCGAACAACACCAATTCGTCCAAAGCAATTATTAATGCTTATCGCTTATTTGATTCCTGCATTAATGAAACAGCTATCGCGGCAGAGGATGTCGATGTGCTACTATCCTTTGTTAATACAGAACTAGGCGGATGGCCCATCTTACAAGGTCCAAAGTGGGACAATACAAAATTTAACTTCTCACGATTACTGCTCAAATTAGCCAAGTATAGTAGCTACATAATTTACATGACAGATACACAGATTAACGATATGAATTCGTCAATTCAAGCCATTCGAGTGAGATTTGTTGTAGACTTGAATGAATAATGAATATTGATAATTTAGATCGGTCAAAGCGATCTTGGCCTGGTAGATCGCAGCTACTATGTTAATGAAAGTGACCTCACGAGAGCCTATCGACAATTCATACGGAGCTTCGCTTGGGCATTAGCAACTGATAGATCAATGATCAACAGTGATGTTACTGCCATATTCAATTTTGAAAAAAGGATCGCCATAGTAAATCTCTCTTTCTTTTCACATACCCTTTGTCTTACTGCTTCCACTCATCACGTAGTATCATTGGACGCCAAATGAACAGATGACTCGAGATACCGAGACTATCTACTCGACCATTGGCAATCTCTCGACTGCAATCAACACTACGGTGAGTATTGTTTTCGATTTTTCTATCTTTAGATTTGTATTCAGTTTGACTTTGTTGGTCATCTTCGCCGTCTCTATCTTTTGGCAAACGTGACTCTTGTCGATACAGATGTTGTAATTGTCACCGAACTTGACTATCTGCGCAATGTTTCATTAATTATCGATCAAGTATCACCACGAGTTTTACAAAACTATATGGTATGGCGGTTTATAATGAATCAAGCATGGATTATATCACGAAGATTTCGAGCCATCAAACAGCAGTTTGATCAAGTATTTCTAGGTACTGTTGTTGAACCATCGCGCGCAACGGAGTGTGCTAATTATGTCAATGAGAATATGGGCTTCGCTGTCTCGAAACTTTATATAAATAAATATTTTGACAAGAACGCTCGTCTAGAGGTATTCAGAACTCCATTTGGTTATGAATTTTTTGCTGTTTTATTTTTTTGACAGTCACTTGCAATGATTGAAAATATTCGAAATCAATTTATTGATATCATCAATCAATCAACATGGATGGACTCCGTCTCGAAACGTAAAGCAATTGAAAAAGTAAGCGAAATATAAATCGATCTAAACCTTGAGAAGACAAATATCATCATACAGGCCCGAGCTATGAACTCAAAAGTTGGCTATCCAGACTATTTAGACGACAATAATACTACAAAGTTGGAGAAACATTATGCGGGGGTAGAAAATAATCAACAACAATTCTTTTAATTCATGATTCATCCATTCTTTTTTTAATTATTATTGTTTCAAAATTTAGTATAATTTCAATTCATCTTTTATGCGAAATGTTTTGCTCGTACTCAAACTAAAACCTAAAAAGAACCTTCAAGCGCTTCGTGAGCTTGTTGATCGACAGGAATGGATGGGGTATTCACCCACTATCGTCAATGCCTTTTATAATCCATCGTTTAATGACATCTGTAAGAAAAAAAAACTCTAGCGAGAGTAACACATCATATCTGGAACTACTTTTAGCTTTTCCAGCTGGCATTCTTCAAACGCCTTTCTTCCACAAAGATGCACCGAAGTAGGATTGAATTGATTACCTCATTCGAAAACTTCTATTTCTATTCGAGATATCTCAACTATGGCGGTGAGAAACGATTCAATGTGAACGAATAGAACAAAAAATGATTTCAAATTTAGCTATTGGAACGATCATTGGACATGAAATAACTCATGGCTTCGATAACTTCGGTGGACTTTATGACAAGGACGGGAATAAGATCCTGTGGTGGAATAATGAAACATTTGCCGCCTTTAACCAACGGAAGGCCTGTATTATTGATCAGTACAACAACTATACGATGACTCAAATTAATCTGCCGGTCTCCTGTTCTATTTGAGTTTGTTGAAAATAAAAACTTGTCTTTTATCGTTCAGGTTAATGGTGAACTAACTCAAGGCGAGAATATCGCTGACAACGGTGGACTAAAAGCAGCCTTCTTTGTAAGTTCTGCGAATCTTTTATTCGAATCTAACCTGGATACTTTTAGGCTTATCAAAAATGGACTCAAATCCATCGAAATGTTGACAAGAAGCTTCCAGGCCTAACAAGATACTCAATTGAGCAAATGTTCTTTCTCAATTATGGTCAAATATGGTGTACGAAGATGACAGATCAATATGCCAAGAAGCAAATTTTGATTGATGAACACTCCCCTGCTCAATTTAGGTGAAACCTTTATTCTACAGTTTCTTCAGATGATTTTATAATTCATTTCTCTTTTTAGAATACTCGGTTCTACCTCAAATTTTGCCGAGTTCGATAGAGTATTTGGCTGCCATCCATCTCAGGGCAACAGTCGAGTGAATAAATGTATCGTGTGGTAGGATTTGTCCGTATGGCTCTTTTGATTCTGCCACCGTTCATACAAAGAAAGATACTGACAGCTATACTCGTGAAGAAAACCTAGTTTCTTAGAGATTGATATGTTCTTTTTTCTTTCCTATTTTGTTCAATTTTCATTTGCCTTATTATATCTTTTTCATTGAGCTTGATATGAATAACTCGAAATAGGTGATGGTCGAATAAAAAATGACTAAAATCCTTTAGCATAGATCTCAACGAAATGATTCTATCCATGTGTTGATCTCTTAAAGGAACTGAAACAACGACCATTCGTACTGATTAATTTCTAGGAACTAAAACACTCACATAAGAAATCACATTGGTTATTAATGAATGTCAAAAGGAGAGGTGTATGAAACAAACATATTTCTTCTAGAAATATCAGTGGTTCCACGTTCAACTAACAATTATTCTGATAAACTAAAGTGGAAGTAAAATGTTTAGAAACCCAACTTTGATCAATAAATACTAATCTCAGTTCATTACTGTTTCTGTTCAGGTTGATTTGCAAACTGACTAAATTAATTTTAGCTGTAAGACGCATGATACCAATTTATTTATTCAATTATTATTTGCTACATTAATTTATTTGAAACCTAGGATGTGGGTGTGGAGTGTGTGGGATGTGGGTGTGAATGGCTGCGAATGTGACTGTCTGATAAAGATACCAAGAATACTCACAGTCAGTCACAGCCACCCACACTCCATCTAAAGAAGAGCTTTCCGGTATTAGAAGATATCATCGTTGATAAACTCACGCTATTCTATCAAAATCGCTGGTATCCTTAGTTGTATACAGTATGTTTTCACATGGTCGTATCTTTTTCTCTTATTGTTTCTTCTCATCTTTTTTTCACTACTTTGATAATACTTTTCAATGAAGGGCATAGCTATGGGTACGGCTTCTATTCTGACCACATCCACACCCCTTACTGATTTTTCAACAGTTAGTTCATAGATCATTTGAAGTAAGCTTTAAAAAAACCAGTATCGATACATTTCTGAAGTTCTCTTTGTAGGCCTTCGGCTTAATGAAGTTTTATTATTAGGTATCACTATGCCGAAATTTATATGCTTTTACGGTGCATCAATATTTTGTTATAAAATTTCTTCATCATCTCTAACATCACTAACAAACATATGCCCTGAAGAATGTGTTATACATATTCCTTGTTCTGTTTTGATAGCTTCGAGCACAGCCATTACTCCTGTTACACCACAATGCTAAAAACATGGTGTTTCTATTTGTCGATCAATATCTATCGAATCATCAAAACCAACTTGATTCAACTCTTGATTAATATCCAGGGTTGCCAGATTGTCCGAATTGTACCCCCTCATAGTGACTACGT